AGGGTTGGGGTCTATAACAGGTGCGACATAAGTGAGAGCAAATCGATCATTAGCTTTAGAGAGAAGTAAATTTAGAAACGTTTGAAATGATGACGATCCAATTTTGTTAAGCGCTTACACTGCTTTAATGTACAAGTAACATTTACCTACTTTTAGGAAGCGAAGGGTAGGTCGCCTTCAAAAATACCGAATGATGTCTCAATTTATCTGCGGTATCTTCATCAGGAAAGTGGTATCCCATGCAGTGAGCTGGCGAGGCGTTATCCTCAGTATGCCCCACGGAGCATTTATCGACATGCTAAAAAGCGCGTAGGCGAAGAAGTATTTGACAAGAGGAGGCGAAACAAAGGAAGACCGCGTAAACTGACATTAAGGGACGAAAGAAGTATAATTCGTACTATACACAAACTGCGAAATGAGTCTGTTTCCTTTTCTTCAAAACGAATCAAAACTGAAGCAAACATACCTGAAGATGTTAGCTGTCGCAATGTTCGAAGATTCTTGAACAGAAAAGGGTACGGATATAGACAGGCAAGAAAAAAAGGGCTTCTTACAGAGACTGACAAAAAAAAGCGAGCTAAGTTTGCAAAGAATGTTTTAAAAAGATTAAAAGAAGAGTTGTGGACCGAAGGCATTAGCTTTTACTTTGATGGGGTTGGATTTGTACACAAAACAAATCCCAATAATGAAGCCAGATCAAGTGGTGCGAGAAATTGGAGAAAGGCTGGAGAGGGTCTAATATATACAACTAAAGGGAAAAAAGAGGGTAGCGGTGGAAAAACGGCCAACTTTTTTGTTGTGATTGCTTTTGACAAAGGTGTGATTAGTTGTGAGCAGTATCATTCCAAGCTTACTGGAAAGATGTTTGCTGAGTTCGTTAAGGAGCATTTTAGTTCTGTCTTTGAAAACAGTGCTAATCCTCGTGGAAAACTATTTCTTCAGGACGGTGACCCAAGACAGTGCTCTAAAGTGGCTCGTAAGGCAATAGATCGTTTAGGATGCAGAATGTTTGCGATTCCTCCACGTTCTCCAGATATCAACCCGATTGAAAATATTTTTCATCTTGTGCGTAAACAGCTTCAAGATGACGCTTTAAGAAACAAAATCACGAAAGAGTCTTTCGCTGCATTTTCAGAGCGTATAAAACACACCGTGAAAAACATCCCAGTCGAAACAATTAATAAAACAATTCTTTCAATGAACAAACGAATGAAATTGATTGTTAAAGGAAAGGGTAACAGAACAAAGTATTAGATTATATAACAGATCGTTACTATAAACATCACTTGAGTACCTGTTAGTTGTATAATTTTTGATTAAGCATATGACCTCATAATATTCTGTCTGAAGTAAATAAATGTAACCTAAAATTCATATCTCCAATTATTTCTATATGCACAATTTAAAACAACACATTACCGCACACGTTACCAACACGTTACCAACACGTTACCAAACGCTATATCTTGATATAAACCCCAAAGTATTGTTTTATGACACGTTACCACACGTTACCACAATAATTTAAAAAAGAAGTATATATTACTTATTTAAGAAAAATGACGGTAACGTGTTGTTTTCTGCTAAGTATCTTAGTATTTCAGTGGTAACGTGTGTGGTAACGTGTGTGGTAACGTGTGGTAACGTGTCATAAAATGGTGACACGTCGCTAAATGTTTAATATATAAGGATGATCGTTTTATTCAACATCACTTCCAGACATGACTAGATTGCTGAAGCAACGAGCACATGCTGGTATGTCCTTACTTTCATTTGATGGAATTTGGACGCTAAACTTAAATATATTCCATCTGGAGGACATCATATCATTCTCACGCTCGTCACGACTATTATATTTCCCCCAAAACTCAATCGGCCCCTTACTGGTAGCGAATATTGGGATGGTGTTTTCTCGTGGAATACACAAATCAGTGGCAAACATATTCTTTGGCCTTGGAAGATGAACTGTCTGCCCTTCCAGTAGCAACAAAAAGTCACTCCACTCGATCAATTCTGGTGACCATCGAAAATCATTCAAGTATGCGACCTCACATTCCTCTAATCCAACCCAAGCATACTTTCCCGTAGCAGGATTTATGAACGTTTTGTATATTAACTCCAGAGGATTGAGAAGAAATGACTTTCCGCAATTCGTGGGACCAATGAGCAAAACGTTCAAGCGCTTCTGTCTTCCCCTCTCAAGAAGCTGACGCAAGGCTGAAGCAAAGTAATATAAATTAATTCCATTTTGATGTAGGACTTGTTTTGCACACACCAACCACTCTCCGTTGCACAAAGGTAAACATTCGCTTTCGAGATGAGCTCTAAGGATTGATATTCTTGATTCTTTCGCTCTTTGGACATTTTTGGAAGCGTCATTCATTTTCCAAGTCATGTCCAAGAGTTCTGATAGAGACTTTGAAGATTTGTTTATGATAAATTTGTACAAATCCTTTTCGCCCTCAGAATGACGAGTTTTTGCAACGACCATTAACTCACTATCGCTTCTAATATCATTTGCGACAATAAATTCAGAAACATCGATGTTGGATAACTTCTTGGGTTTCGAAGAACTTGGTAGGTTTTCCTTAATTTTCTCATTGTTAGTTGGTGCTGAGATTCTCCTTTTCTTCGCGTTATCAGAAAACTGTGTGAAAGCACGTTTGGTTTTTGGTGAGCCAATTTCTTGTAAATTTGGGTGGCCAGGGCTGTGTAATACGTCGGTGAATGACTTGTTCTTGCAGACGTATTTGTAGGCGACATGGTAACCACATGATTGGTCGGAAAAATGCAAGGCAATTCCATGCTTTTTGCTTACATAATTTTTCACGGCTTTCCACCGCCTTGGTGCACTTAGTTTGATAGCCAAGTGGTAATGCTTTCCCCCATCTCTATGTTCCTCCATGCAGCATGACCAGTGTTCTGGATGGTTCGTATTATCCTTTTGATTTCCTTGTGATTGTGAAAATGCCTCAAGAATACAATCAGCAAACGCCTGGCAATTTGCTATTTTCCCCAAATCTGCCTGGGAATAAGTGATCAGATAAACACGACGAGTTTGTCTTTCACCGAGCGCCTGACCAAAATCGCTTTCGACAGCGTTATTTTCCATGGTAAACACACTTGAATGACTTGACAAGGTAAAGATAAATAAAGAGAAAAGCGATCAGCTTCAGAATTTCGCGCCTTTCGATTTTTGGACCCAGGCTTAAATCGCGCAGTACCGGAAGTTGTCAATTTCAAAACAAATAAATCTACCTCTGTATTATAGTTTGTAGTATTTTTACTATACGGAGCATTTTAATACACGGCTTGTAGGAAGTTTACATCCTGAAAATTATCCTGTTGTTGTGATTATAAGAGACTATAAAAACGAAATCATAATATGAAGGTATGTTTTGCATTTAATATTTTATGTCAAACAAGAAGAATGGCGAACAATATAATGATGTTGGTTAGACGTTTTATACTATCTTGCATCTACATAATTTATAAATGTTTAATACAATCAAACGATACGTTCGAATGCTAAATAGTATATTTTATAAACCTCATCGTTCATGACCGACGACAACACCTTGGAATATGTACAGCAAAACCTCCATAAAAAATTTAAATAATCTATTATTCGCGTCCAAATTTTTATTTAAATACAGTGCGGAATTACAATTGTTTATTTCTTGCGTCATAATACTTAATCTTTTAACCGCACATCAACATACCGCATGCACGAGTGTCATCGGTGGAATTGTTTGAACATTTTCAGACGTCGCTGGCTAATAAGAAAAAATACAGTCCATAGTCAGCTCAGAAATGGAACGTATTACCTTACTTATTCAATCTGGATTTTTACAAAAGCAGTTTATTTCTATGTTAGGGATATGCTAAAGTGCGTCAGACCTATTAGAATTTTTCATCCAAATTATTAATGCAAGGACTGCCTGGTGGGTGGGTGCGGGGGGGGGTCGAGTGTCGTATACATCAGAATTATTCAATATCTAAGAACTTTATAACAGTTAATGCATATACGTATTGCCCTATGATTTTCGTCCAAATTTTAAAGTGTCTATTTATACAAGAAGCCACTGTCATCTTCACAATTCACTTGCTGACGGCTGATGGGAGAAGGGGGTGGGGGGGGGGTTGGGGTCTATAACAGGTGTGACATAAGTGAGAGCAAATCGATCATTAGCTTTAGAGAGAAGTAAATTTAGAAACGTTTGAAATGATGACGATCCAATTTTGTTAAGCGCTTACACTGCTTTAATGTACAAGTAAAATTTACCTACTTTTAGGAAGCGAAGGGTAGGTCGCCTTCAAAAATACCGAGTGATGTCTCAATTTATCTGCGGTATCTTCATCAGGAAAGTGGTATCCCATGCAGTGAGCTGGCGAGGCGTTATCCTCAGTATGCCCCACGGAGCATTTATCGACATGCTAAAAAGCGCGTAGGCGAAGAAGTATTTGACAAGAGGAGGCGAAACAAAGGAAGACCGCGTAAACTGACATTAAGGGACGAAAGAAGTATAATTCGTACTATACACAAACTGCGAAATGAGTCTGTTTCCTTTTCTTCAAAACGAATCAAAACTGAAGCAAACATACCTGAAGATGTTAGCTGTCGCAATGTTCGAAGATTCTTGAACAGAAAAGGGTACGGATATAGACAGGCAAGAAAAAAAGGGCTTCTTACAGAGACTGACAAAAAAAAGCGACCTAAGTTTGCAAAGAATGTTTTAAAAAGATTAAAAGAAGAGTTGTGGACCGAAGGCATTAGCTTTTACTTTGATGGGGTTGGATTTGTACACAAAACGAATCCCAATAATGAAGCCAGATCAAGTGGTGCGAGAAATTGGAGAAAGGCTGGAGAGGGTCTAATATATACAACTAAAGGGAAAAAAGAGGGTAGCGGTGGAAAAACGGCCAACTTTTTTGTTGCGATTGCTTTTGACAAAGGTGTGATTAGTTGTGAGCAGTATCATTCCAAGCTTACTGGAAAGATGTTTGCTGAGTTCGTTAAGGAGCATTTTAGTTCTGTCTTTGAAAACAGTGCTAATCCTCGTGGAAAACTATTTCTTCAGGACGGTGACCCAAGACAGTGCTCTAAAGTGGCTCGTAAGGCAATAGATCGTTTAGGATGCAGAATGTTTGCGATTCCTCCACGTTCTCCAGATATCAACCCGATTGAAAATATTTTTCATCTTGTGCGTAAACAGCTTCAAGATGACGCTTTAAGAAACAAAATCACGAAAGAGTCTTTCGCTGCATTTTCAGAGCGTATAAAACACACCGTGAAAAACATCCCAGTCGAAACAATTAATAAAACAATTCTTTCAATGAACAAACGAATGAAATTGATTGTTAAAGGAAAGGGTAACAGAACAAAGTATTAGATTATATAACAGATCGTTACTATAAACATCACTTGAGTACCTGTTAGTTGTATAATTTTTGATTAAGCATATGACCTCATAATATTCTGTCTGAAGTAAATAAATGTAACCTAAAATTCATATCTCCAATTATTTCTATATGCACAATTTAAAACAACACATTACCGCACACGTTACCAACACGTTACCAACACGTTACCAAACGCTATATCTTGATATAAACCCCAAAGTATTGTTTTATGACACGTTACCACACGTTACCACAATAATTTAAAAAAGAAGTATATATTACTTATTTAAGAAAAATGACGGTAACGTGTTGTTTTCTGCTAAGTATCTTAGTATTTCAGTGGTAACGTGTGTGGTAACGTGTGTGGTAACGTGTGGTAACGTGTCATAAAATGGTGACACGTCGCTAAATGTTTAATATATAAGGATGATCGTTTTATTCAACATCACTTCCAAACATGACTAGATTGCTGAAGCAACGAGCACATGCTGGTATGTCCTTACTTTCATTTGATGGAATTTGGACGCTAAACTTAAATATATTCCATCTGGAGGACATCATATCATTCTCACGCTCGTCACGACTATTATATTTCCCCCAAAACTCAATCGGCCCCTTACTGGTAGCGAATATTGGGATGGTGTTTTCTCGTGGAATACACAAATCAGTGGCAAACATATTCTTTGGCCTTGGAAGATGAACTGTCTGCCCTTCCAGTAGCAACAAAAAGTCACTCCACTCGATCAATTCTGGTGACCATCGAAAATCATTCAAGTATGCGACCTCACATTCCTCTAATCCAACCCAAGCATACTTTCCCGTAGCAGGATTTATGAACGTTTTGTATATTAACTCCAGAGGATTGAGAAGAAATGACTTTCCGCAATTCGTGGGACCAATGAGCAAAACGTTCAAGCGCTTCTGTCTTCTTCTCTCAAGAAGCTGACGCAAGGCTGAAGCAAAGTAATATAAATTAATTCCATTTTGATGTAGGACTTGTTTTGCACACACCAACCACTCTCCGTTGCATAAAGGTAAACATTCGCTTTCGAGATGAGCTCTAAGGATTGATATTCTTGATTCTTTCGCTCTTTGGACATTTTTGGAAGCGTCATTCATTTTCCAAGTCATGTCCAAGAGTTCTGATAGAGACTTTGAAGATTTGTTTATGATAAATTTGTACAAATCCTTTTCGCCCTCAGAATGACGAGTTTTTGCAACGACCATTAACTCACTATCGCTTCTAATATCATTTGCGACAATAAATTCAGAAACATCGATGTTGGATAACTTCTTGGGTTTCGAAGAACTTGGTAGGTTTTCCTTAATTTTCTCATTGTTAGTTGGTGCTGAGATTCTCCTTTTCTTCGCGTTATCAGAAAACTGTGTGAAAGCACGTTTGGTTTTTGGTGAGCCAATTTCTTGTAAATTTGGGTGGCCAAGGCTGTGTAATACGTCGGTGAATGACTTGTTCTTGCAGACGTATTTGTAGGCGACATGGTAACCACATGATTGGTCGGAAAATGCAAGGCAATTCCATGCTTTTTGCTTACATAATTTTTCACGGCTTTCCACCGCCTTGGTGCACTTAGTTTGATAGCCAAGTGGTAATGCTTTCCCCCATCTCTATGTTCCTCCATGCAGCATGACCAGTGTTCTGGATGGTTCGTATTATCCTTTTGATTTCCTTGTGATTGTGAAAATGCCTCAAGAATACAATCAGCAAACGCCTGGCAATTTGCTATTTTCCCCAAATCTGCCTGGGAATAAGTGATCAGATAAACACGACGAGTTTGTCTTTCACCGAGCGCCTGACCAAAATCGCTTTCGATAGCGTTATTTTCCATGGTAAACACACTTGAATGACTTGACAAGGTAAAGATAAATAAAGAGAAAAGCGATCAGCTTCAGAATTTCGCGCCTTTCGATTTTTGGACCCAGGCTTAAATCGCGCAGTACCGGAAGTTGTCAATTTCAAAACAAATAAATCTACCTCTGTATTATAGTTTGTAGTATTTTTACTATACGGAGCATTTTAATACACGGCTTGTAGGAAGTTTACATCCTGAAAATTATCCTGTTGTTGTGATTATAAGAGACTATAAAAACGAAATCATAATATGAAGGTATGTTTTGCATTTAATATTTTATGTCAAACAAGAAGAATGGCGAACAATATAATGATGTTGGTTAGACGTTTTATACTATCTTGCATCTACATATTTATAAATGTTTAATACAATCAAACGATACGTTCGAATGCTAAATAGTATATTTTATAAACCTCATCGTTCATGACCGACGACAACACCTTGGAATATGTACAGCAAAACCTCCATAAAAAATTTAAATAATCCATTATTCGCGTCCAAATTTTTATTTAAATACAGTGCGGAATTACAATTGTTTATTTCTTGCGTCATAATACTTAATCTTTTAACCGCACATCAACATACCGCATGCACGAGTGTCATCGGTGGAATTGTTTGAACATTTTCAGACGTCGCTGGCTAATAAGAAAAAATACAATCTTGGACAAAATATTTTGGCAAGACTTATTTAATCTTATTCTTTCTTGTTCTGTTGTCTTATTTTCCGTCATATAGGCAGATGTCTACTTTATATCAAATCTTAGGCACTCTCGTCCCTCCCCCTATATCAATGTTGCTATTTTCGGTTAAATCTTCAGGGAAAAACAGGTGTATTGGCGCAAACAACATTGATATTGGGGGAAGGGAAATAGAATGACATTTTTGCCATATATTTTGTCCAGGATTGTCCATAGTCAGCTCAGAAATGGAACGTATTACCTTACTTATTCAATCTGGATTTTTACAAAAGCAGTTTATTTCTATGTTAGGGATATGCTAAAGTGCGTCAGACCTATTAGAATTTTTCATCCAAATTATTAATGCAAGGACTGCCTGGTGGGTGGGTGCGGGGGGGGGTCGAGTGTCGTATACATCAGAATTATTCAATATCTAAGAACTTTATAACAGTTAATGCATATACGTATTGCCCTATGATTTTCGTCCAAATTTTAAAGTGTCTATTTATACAAGAAGCCACTGTCATCTTCACAATTCACTTGCTGACGGCTGATGGGAGAAGGGGGTGGGGGGGGGGAGGGTTGGGGTCTATAACAGGTGCGACATAAGTGAGAGCAAATCGATCATTAGCTTTAGAGAGAAGTAAATTTAGAAACGTTTGAAATGATGACGATCCAATTTTGTTAAGCGCTTACACTGCTTTAATGTACAAGTAAAATTTACCTACTTTTAGGAAGCGAAGGGTAGGTCGCCTTCAAAAATACCGAGTGATGTCTCAATTTATCTGCGGTATCTTCATCAGGAAAGTGGTATCCCATGCAGTGAGCTGGCGAGGCGTTATCCTCAGTATGCCCCACGGAGCATTTATCGACATGCTAAAAAGCGCGTAGGCGAAGAAGTATTTGACAAGAGGAGGCGAAACAAAGGAAGACCGCGTAAACTGACATTAAGGGACGAAAGAAGTATAATTCGTACTATACACAAACTGCGAAATGAGTCTGTTTCCTTTTCTTCAAAACGAATCAAAACTGAAGCAAACATACCTGAAGATGTTAGCTGTCGCAATGTTCGAAGATTCTTGAACAGAAAAGGGTACGGATATAGACAGGCAAGAAAAAAAGGGCTTCTTACAGAGACTGACAAAAAAAAGCGAGCTAAGTTTGCAAAGAATGTTTTAAAAAGATTAAAAGAAGAGTTGTGGACCGAAGGCATTAGCTTTTACTTTGATGGGGTTGGATTTGTACACAAAACAAATCCCAATAATGAAGCCAGATCAAGTGGTGCGAGAAATTGGAGAAAGGCTGGAGAGGGTCTAATATATACAACTAAAGGGAAAAAAGAGGGTAGCGGTGGAAAAACGGCCAACTTTTTTGTTGCGATTGCTTTTGACAAAGGTGTGATTAGTTGTGAGCAGTATCATTCCAAGCTTACTGGAAAGATGTTTGCTGAGTTCGTTAAGGAGCATTTTAGTTCTGTCTTTGAAAACAGTGCTAATCCTCGTGGAAAACTATTTCTTCAGGACGGTGACCCAAGACAGTGCTCTAAAGTGGCTCGTAAGGCAATAGATCGTTTAGGATGCAGAATGTTTGCGATTCCTCCACGTTCTCCAGATATCAACCCGATTGAAAATATTTTTCATCTTGTGCGTAAACAGCTTCAAGATGACGCTTTAAGAAACAAAATGACGAAAGAGTCTTTCGCTGCATTTTCAGAGCGTATAAAACACACCGTGAAAAACATCCCAGTCGAAACAATTAATAAAACAATTCTTTCAATGAATAAACGAATGAAATTGATTGTTAAAGGAAAGGGTAACAGAACAAAGTATTAGATTATATAACAGATCGTTACTATAAACATCACTTGAGTACCTGTTAGTTGTATAATTTTTGATTAAGCATATGACCTCATAATATTCTGTCTGAAGTAAATAAATGTAACCTAAAATTCATATCTCCAATTATTTCTATATGCACAATTTAAAACAACACATTACCGCACACGTTACCAACACGTTACCAACACGTTACCAACACGTTACCAAACGCTATATCTTGATATAAACCCCAAAGTATTGTTTTATGACACGTTACCACACGTTACCACAATAATTTAAAAAAGAAGTATATATTACTTATTTAAGAAAAATGACGGTAACGTGTTGTTTTCTGCTAAGTATCTTAGTATTTCAGTGGTAACGTGTGTGGTAACGTGTGTGGTAACGTGTGGTAACGTGTCATAAAATGGTGACACGTCGCTAAATGTTTAATATATAAGGATGATCGTTTTATTCAACATCACTTCCAGACATGACTAGATTGCTGAAGCAACGAGCACATGCTGGTATGTCCTTACTTTCATTTGATGGAATTTGGACGCTAAACTTAAATATATTCCATCTGGAGGACATCATATCATTCTCACGCTCGTCACGACTATTATATTTCCCCCAAAACTCAATCGGCCCCTTACTGGTAGCGAATATTGGGATGGTGTTTTCTCGTGGAATACACAAATCAGTGGCAAACATATTCTTTGGCCTTGGAAGATGAACTGTCTGCCCTTCCAGTAGCAACAAAAAGTCACTCCACTCGATCAATTCTGGTGACCATCGAAAATCATTCAAGTATGCGACCTCACATTCCTCTAATCCAACCCAAGCATACTTTCCCGTAGCAGGATTTATGAACGTTTTGTATATTAACTCCAGAGGATTGAGAAGAAATGACTTTCCGCAATTCGTGGGACCAATGAGCAAAACGTTCAAGCGCTTCTGTCTTCCCCTCTCAAGAAGCTGACGCAAGGCTGAAGCAAAGTAATATAAATTAATTTCATTTTGATGTAGGACTTGTTTTGCACACACCAACCACTCTCCGTTGCATAAAGGTAAACATTCGCTTTCGAGATGAGCTCTAAGGATTGATATTCTTGATTCTTTCGCTCTTTGGACATTTTTGGAAGCGTCATTCATTTTCCAAGTCATGTCCAAGAGTTCTGATAGAGACTTTGAAGATTTGTTTATGATAAATTTGTACAAATCCTTTTCGCCCTCAGAATGACGAGTTTTTGCAACGACCATTAACTCACTATCGCTTCTAATATCATTTGCGACAATAAATTCAGAAACATCGATGTTGGATAACTTCTTGGGTTTCGAAGAACTTGGTAGGTTTTCCTTAATTTTCTCATTGTTAGTTGGTGCTGAGATTCTCCTTTTCTTCGCGTTATCAGAAAACTGTGTGAAAGCACGTTTGGTTTTTGGTGAGCCAATTTCTTGTAAATTTGGGTGGCCAGGGCTGTGTAATACGTCGGTGAATGACTTGTTCTTGCAGACGTATTTGTAGGCGACATGGTAACCACATGATTGGTCGGAAAATGCAAGGCAATTCCATGCTTTTTGCTTACATAATTTTTCACGGCTTTCCACCGCCTTGGTGCACTTAGTTTGATAGCCAAGTGGTAATGCTTTCCCCCATCTCTATGTTCCTCCATGCAGCATGACCAGTGTTCTGGATGGTTCGTATTATCCTTTTGATTTCCTTGTGATTGTGAAAATGCCTCAAGAATACAATCAGCAAACGCCTGGCAATTTGCTATTTTCCCCAAATCTGCCTGGGAATAAGTGATCAGATAAACACGACGAGTTTGTCTTTCACCGAGCGCCTGACCAAAATCGCTTTCGACAGCGTTATTTTCCATGGTAAACACACTTGAATGACTTGACAAGGTAAAGATAAATAAAGAGAAAAGCGATCAGCTTCAGAATTTCGCGCCTTTCGATTTTTGGACCCAGGCTTAAATCGCGCAGTACCGGAAGTTGTCAATTTCAAAACAAATAAATCTACCTCTGTATTATAGTTTGTAGTATTTTTACTATACGGAGCATTTTAATACACGGCTTGTAGGAAGTTTACATCCTGAAAATTATCCTGTTGTTGTGATTATAAGAGACTATAAAAACGAAATCATAATATGAAGGTATGTTTTGCATTTAATATTTTATGTCAAACAAGAAGAATGGCGAACAATATAATGATGTTGGTTAGACGTTTTATACTATCTTGCATCTACATAATTTATAAATGTTTAATACAATCAAACGATACGTTCGAATGCTAAATAGTATATTTTATAAACCTCATCGTTCATGACCGACGACAACACCTTGGAATATGTACAGCAAAACCTCCATAAAAAATTTAAATAATCTATTATTCGCGTCCAAATTTTTATTTAAATACAGTGCGGAATTACAATTGTTTATTTCTTGCGTCATAATACTTAATCTTTTAACCGCACATCAACATACCGCATGCACGAGTGTCATCGGTGGAATTGTTTGAACATTTTCAGACGTCGCTGGCTAATAAGAAAAAATACAATCTTGGACAAAATATTTTGGCAAGACTTATTTAATCTTATTCTTTCTTGTTCTGTTGTCTTATTTTCCGTCATATAGGCAGATGTCTACTTTATATCAAATCTTAGGCACTCTCGTCCCTCCCCCTATATCAATGTTGCTATTTTCGGTTAAATCTTCAGGGGAAAACAGGTGTATTGGCGCAAACAACATTGATATTGGGGGAAGGGAAATAGAATGACATTTTTGCCATATATTTTGTCCAGGATTGTCCATAGTCAGCTCAGAAATGGAACGTATTACCTTACTTATTCAATCTGGATTTTTACAAAAGCAGTTTATTTCTATGTTAGGGATATGCTAAAGTGCGTCAGACCTATTAGAATTTTTCATCCAAATTATTAATGCAAGGACTGCCTGGTGGGTGGGTGCGGGGGGGGGTCGAGTGTCGTATACATCAGAATTATTCAATATCTAAGAACTTTATAACAGTTAATGCATATACGTATTGCCCTATGATTTTCGTCCAAATTTTAAAGTGTCTATTTATACAAGAAGCCACTGTCATCTTCACAATTCACTTGCTGACGGCTGATGGGAGAAGGGGGTGGGGGGGGGGTTGGGGTCTATAACAGGTGTGACATAAGTGAGAGCAAATCGATCATTAGCTTTAGAGAGAAGTAAATTTAGAAACGTTTGAAATGATGACGATCCAATTTTGTTAAGCGCTTACACTGCTTTAATGTACAAGTAAAATTTACCTACTTTTAGGAAGCGAAGGGTAGGTCGCCTTCAAAAATACCGAGTAATGTCTCAATTTATCTGCGGTATCTTCATCAGGAAAGTGGTATCCCATGCAGTGAGCTGGCGAGGCGTTATCCTCAGTATGCCCCACGGAGCATTTATCGACATGCTAAAAAGCGCGTAGGCGAAGAAGTATTTGACAAGAGGAGGCGAAACAAAGGAAGACCGCGTAAACTGACATTAAGGGACGAAAGAAGTATAATTCGTACTATACACAAACTGCGAAATGAGTCTGTTTCCTTTTCTTCAAAACGAATCAAAACTGAAGCAAACATACCTGAAGATGTTAGCTGTCGCAATGTTCGAAGATTCTTGAACAGAAAAGGGTACGGATATAGACAGGCAAGAAAAAAAGGGCTTCTTACAGAGACTGACAAAAAAAAGCGAGCTAAGTTTGCAAAGAATGTTTTAAAAAGATTAAAAGAAGAGTTGTGGACCGAAGGCATTAGCTTTTACTTTGATGGGGTTGGATTTGTACACAAAACGAATCCCAATAATGAAGCCAGATCAAGTGGTGCGAGAAATTGGAGAAAGGCTGGAGAGGGTCTAATTATACAACTAAAGGGAAAAAAGAGGGTAGCGGTGGAAAAACGGCCAACTTTTTTGTTGCGATTGCTTTTGACAAAGGTGTGATTAGTTGTGAGCAGTATCATTCCAAGCTTACTGGAAAGATGTTTGCTGAGTTCGTTAAGGAGCATTTTAGTTCTGTCTTTGAAAACAGTGCTAATCCTCGTGAAAAACTATTTCTTCAGGACGGTGACCCAAGACAGTGCTCTAAAGTGGCTCGTAAGGCAATAGATCGTTTAGGATGCAGAATGTTTGCGATTCCTCCACGTTCTCCAGATATCAACCCGATTGAAAATATTTTTCATCTTGTGCGTAAACAGCTTCAAGATGACGCTTTAAGAAACAAAATCACGAAAGAGTCTTTCGCTGCATTTTCAGAGCGTATAAAACAC